AAAAAAAAAAAAAAAAAAAAATCCCAATCATTCTCTACTTGTAATGTACTCCCTTTTTATTTCCCACTCTTGAAAAGCATTTAATCTTAATTTGAATTAATATATCTACTAGGCAATTTGTATATCTTGCACATATGCATACACATTTGCATCAGCATTACATGAAAAATCTTCAAAGTTCCACATGACAGCTGTCACCAATCACAATACTATTTGTCAAGTATACACTGCAAAACTTTAAAAACTGACTTATATGTCTAGCTCTTAACCAAATTTTATTTACTTTAGATCTTTATCCATGGTTTTTTAGAGTAGCAATATTAAGTTGTAGTCTAACGCCAGCTGGAAGTAAAACTCAATGGCATATCATATTTCTGTATATGTAGTCATGATTTTTAATTTTAATGGCTTATATTCCACCATATTGTTATGCCATCATTTACTCCAAATGTTTTCAAGTTTTCATATTACAAAGTGCAATTACAAATAGAATTGTGTCAAAGGCAGGAAGTTTGCGTGTTATCACTTTTGTTTACATTAAAATAAATAGAATCTACTGGAATTTTTAAAAATCCAAGTAAAGAGATGTCCTTTGCTATTTACACACTGTGTAGGAGGCAAATTATTCTATGTACGTTTTACAACTACACTACTATCAATAGGACCACGGTTTGGAAAGCCAGTTGCATACTGCTAATCTAATACAAACGTAAGGTGGCGTTAACATCGCATATTCACAGATAAGGGCTTGAATAAAAGCTGATCAGGAAACCCCCAAAACTGCTTCTTCCCCCATCTTTGGCTTTACAGTAAAACACTGACATGCTTTCAGAGACTATCAGACTGGGCTGATAATTTTCTAGTAAGAACCACTCAGTGAGGAAGTTCAGTTGGTCGAAGAAGAGCTTCAGCAGATGCTCTGAGGCAGCACCGAGGTTTGATCCGGCAGAGCCCCTTCCAACTGGGCTGGCGCTCCTCGTGGGTAGGAAGAATGAAGAAAGATTGTAGCTCGTAGCTTCCGAGGCCAGACCTTGGCCAGGACTTACGCGGACTGCAGAGAGCCTCAGGGACTCAGCACGCGTCTGCCCGCCTCCCAGCCTCTTGTCCGCCGGGAGGTTCTGCGCAGGCGCGGCAATCGTGCGACAGCCGTCACTTACGGCCGGAGCTGTTGGTGCTGGGAGTTGGTGGCGCGGTGCAGGGCTCCTAAGAACGAACGGCTTGGGCGCGGGTAATCAGCTTCCTTTCCCCCAGTTTCTCACTCATTCTAGGTACTTGGAACTGTCGTAGAGTTTCCAGACCCCACGTAGGCGCCCAGTTGTGGACTGTCCCACTCTGCCGCTCTACTGCTCGGGGTGCTCCCGCGCCCAGGTGGGGGTGAGGGGCGGGGTCGGGGGCTGGGCTGCACTCCATCCTGGCGTCTTCGTGTTGAAATCTCCCAGGTAACTCGCGGCTCTTCTTGTTTTCCAAGACTGGTATCCGGGGACTGTGACTTGCAGGGTCCGCCATGGAGCCGGAGCAGATGCTGGAGGGACAAACGCAGGTATCAGGAGGCCCTGAATTCAGGGTGGCAGTGTTCAGGGAGGCAGCGAGAAAGGGGGGACTTTTATCTCTGTGACCGGTGTTTTGTTTTCTAGGTTGCAGAAAATCCTCACTCTGAGTATGGTCTCACAGACAACGTTGAGGTAACTCGCCCAGTTCCTATGCCTCATCTGTGTTGTCTCTTGCGAGCTGGAGAAAACTTGGAATCTGCTTTTACTAGGTTACTATGCACAAGGGAAAACTTTGTTATCGTGAACTGAATGGTATCAAGTTATGGGTAGCTTGTTTTATTAGTACTAATGCTTCTTGGTGTGGAGACATACAAATTAGGTTTGAGCCAAAGGATTGAATTTTTATTACGAAACACATTCTTGAGGGATACTGTCTAAATCATTTTGCTTGGTGGCTTTTAATCGATCTTTTGGGATGTTGCTACGTAAAAATCGCATATTAAAATTAAGAAACCCTTCGTTGGGCACGGTGGCCCACGCCTGTAATCCCAGCACTTTGGGAGGCCGAGGCTGGTGGATCACCTGAGGTCAGGAGTTCCAAACCAGCCTGACCAGCGTGGTGAAACCCCGTCTCTAATACAAAAATTAGCCAGGCATGATGGTGGATGGCTGTAATCCCAGCTATTCGGGTGGCTGAGGCCAGAGAATTGCTTGAATCTGGAAAACTGAGGTTGCAGTGAGCTGAAATCGCGCCACTGCACTACAGCCTGGGCGACAGAGTGAGACTCCGTCTCAAAAAAAAAAAAAAAGAAAAAGAAAAAAAAGTAAAAAATAAAATTAGGAAATCTGTTGGTCTTTGTAGCGGAATAGTGTGCTGGAGGAGTCAACATTTAATAAGTATTTATTTCTTTTTAGAGTTCAGTAACTCCTGGGCTGAAGTGAGAGGATTGCTGGAGCTGGGGAGGTCGAGGCTGCAGTGAGCTATGATCGCACCACTGCACTCCAGCCTGGGTGTCAGCACGTGACCCTGTCCCTCTTCCCTTCTCCCCGCCCCCCCCAAAAAATAAGGCCGGACGCAGTGGTTTACCCCTGTAATCCCAGCACTTTGAGGGCCAGTGCGAGCTGATTACCTGAGGTCAGGAGTTCCAGACCAGCCTGGCCAACATGGTGAAACCTCGTCTCTACTAATCCCAGCTACTCGGAAGGCTGAGGCAGGAGAATCACGAATGGCTTGAACCCGAGATCGTGCCACTGTACTCCATCCTGGGCGACAGAGCGAGATTTTGTCTTAAAAAAAAAAAAATAGTAATGCAACTTAATTCTACTGCAAAAATGTCAACCTGCCTAGGTTGAAAATACGGTTCCCAACATACTTTCTGGTGACCTTAAACAAGTTACTGAACTTCTCTGAGCCTTATGGGGCTGAAGATACAGGCAAATTGCTTAAGAGTGTGTGTGGCACATAGTAAAAGATTAGAAATTTTTTGTTTTGTTTTTGTTTTGTTTTGTTTTGTTTTTTTTGAAACGGAGTTTCACTCTGTTGCCCAGGCTGGAGTGCAGTGGCGAGATCTCGGCTCACTGCAAGCCCCGCCTCCCAGGTTCATGCCCTTCTCCTGCCTCAGCCTCCCAAGTAGCTGGGACTACAGGTACCCACCACCATGCCCGGCTAATTTTTTGTATTTTTTTTTAGTAGAGACGGGGTTTCACTGTGTTAGCCAGATGGTCTCTATCTCTTGACCTCGTGATCCGCCCGCCTTGGCCTCCCAAAGTGCTGGGATTATAGGTGTGAGCCATCGTGCCTGGCCAAGGCTAGAAAAAATATTAACAGCTATTATTATTATTACTGTGGTTAGAAATGCTTTTATTCTCATTTATCCAAACTGAATCCCACGTCTTGTTTTTTAATAAAGCATACAGTCCAGGTATGGTGGCTCACACCTGTAATCCCAGCACTTTGGGAGTCTGAGGTGGGTGGATCACTTGAGGCGAGGATTTCAAGCCTGGCCAACATGGTGAAAGCCCATCTCTACTAAAAATACAAAAATTAGCCAGGCGTGGTGGCGAGCCCCTGTAATCCCAGCTACTCAGGAGGCTGAGGCAGGAGAATTGTTTGAACCCCGGAGGCAGAGTTGCAGTGAGCCGAGATCGTGCCACTGTACTCCAGCCTGGGCGACAGAGTGAGACTCCGTCTCAAAAATAAAAAAGTTGGCTGGGCATGGTGGCTGGTAAACCGCTTCAGCTCAGGAGTTTGAAACCAGCCTACAAACCCTGTCTCTACAAAAAAAAAAAGAAAGAAAAATTAACTGAGTGTGACGGTAGGTGCCTACAGTCCCAGCTACTTGGGAGACTGAAGCAGGAGGATCACTTGAGCCCAGGAGGCCGAAGCTGCAGTGAGCCCTAATTGCACCAGTGCACACCATCCTGAGTGAGAGAGCAAAACCTTGTCTCAAAAGCAAAAAAAAAAAAAGTCACTTTAAAGATATTTAAACAGTACAGAAAAAGGAGAATTTTACATTTATCCACATATTGACCGTTTCTGGAGATCTTCATTCTTTTGTGTAGGTCTAGATTTCCATCTTTCCAAAAGGTATCATTTTCTTCCTGCCCAAAGGGCTTCCTTGAACATTTCTTGTAGTTCACTTCTGCTGATAAGAAATTCTTTCAGCTTCTGAATGTCTGAAAAAGTCATTATTTTGCCCTTGTTTTTAGCAGATATTTTTGCTAGTTGTAGATTGCTTCACGATCTTCTGGCAGACATTGTTTCTGAAAAGAAGCTTGCTATCGTTCCTATCTTTGCTCCTCAGTAATGTCTTCTTGCTACTTTTGAGATTTTCTTTATATCAGTGTTTTAAAGTTATTTGGTTGTGGTGTGTCTTGGTGTAGTTTTTTTCTTTTCTTTTTTTTTTTTTTTTTT